CCACAGAGGTCAGAAGAGGCTGTCAGATCCCCTGGGACTGGACTTAGGACAGTGGTTAGCTGCCATGTGGGTGTTGGGAATCAAACCCAGGTCTTCTGCAAGAACAGCCAGTGCTCTTAACTGCTGAGCCATCTCTCCAGCCCCCCCCCCTTTTTTTGTTTTTTTTAAACAGAGCATAGGGTAGTGGTTTATTTACAGAAGTGTGGGCACCCCACATTTATGGCTGCGCTGTAAAGTCCACACTCAAATATAGATCACAGGCACTTTTTTAAAAAAGGGTCCAGGGACTTGAGAGATTGCTCAATGGTTAAGAGCACTTGCTGCTCTTGCAGAGGACCTGAGTTCAGTACACAGTACTTACATTGGTCAGCTCACAACTGCCGTTAACTCCAGCTTCTGGGAATCTGACCCTCTTCTGGCCTCAGAGGGAACTGTACTTGTGCACATACATATGAATGGACACACATGCATACACATAATTAAAAATAAAATCTTCCCAGGCATGGCAGCATGTGCTTTTAATCTCAGCACTCAGGAGACAAAGGCAGATTGAGGCCAGCCTAGTCTACATAGGGAGTTCCAGGATAGCTGTGGCTATAAGGAAACCTTGTCTCAAAAAACAAAACAAAAATAAAATCTTGGGACTGGAGAGATGGCTCAGAGGTTAAGAACACCGGTGGTTCTTGCAAAAGACCCGCGTTCAAATCCCAGCACCCACATGGCAGCTAACTGTCCATAACCATAGTCCCAGGGGATCTGACACCCTCTTCTGACCTCCATGGGCATTGCACAACACAGGTGCACTTACCTACATGCAGGCAATACATGCATACACATAAAATAAAAAAGCTGGGTGTGGTGGCACACGCCTTTAATCCCAGCACTTGGGAGGCAGAGGTAGGTGGATCTTTGTGAGTTCAAGGCCAGCCTGGTCTTCATAGTGAGTTCCAGGACAGCTGGGGCTACTGGGATACCCTGTCTCAAAAAGGCAAAAAAAAAAAAAAAAAGTTAAATAAAATTTAAGAAAATAAAATCTTTAGGGTGCTGGAGGGATGGTTCAGTGGCTGAGGACACTGGTTGCTCTTGCACAGGACCCGGGTTTGATTCCCAGTACCCACATGGTGGCTAACAACCATTAACTCCAGTTCCAGGGGATCTGATGCCCTCTTCTGACCTCCATGGGCACTGCATGACGTGGGTGTGTTACAGAGTTTGGGACCACTGGGAAAGACTGCCCAGACTCTAAAAGTTCCGAATCAGCCGAATTAAGCTTTTACAATTTTATTAGAATTTTAAGAAAAATCTTCAGAGAAGCAGGCAAGCTGGTAATCTTGGCAGCTGCCTTGAGAAGGAGAATGGAGGGGAGAAGGAAAGAAAGCCATAAAGCAGTGCAGGTTTATAGCCTGCCTGGGGGTTGGACACGTGACTGGCTGGGAGAAGGAAGCTTTAGAGAAAGTAGAGAAATGTAAGATGCTAGGGCAGCCCAAAGCCTTAAAGAAAGCATGTTTAGAAAAGAGAGCCATGAAGAAGAAAAAGAGAAATTACACTTCCCTGAATTCTTCAGGGAAGCGGACAAACTCATGGACTACATAGCTGTAGCTAGTCTGGAAGTTCTGCACTGAAGGTGGATTCCAGGCAGGAAAAACCCGACACCTCATTAACACACTAGGTATTCCGCCCACTCTTTAGCATAACCCACCTTCCTAGGGTGGTCCTATGACCAGATGATTGACCAGTTAAACTTACACAAAATGGAGGGGCTCAGGGTATTATAGGTGCATGTACATGCAAGCAATACACTCATAAAGATAATACAAAAAAATAAAATTAACAAGAATACCATTTAAAAAAACTAGATGGGATTTGCCTATTTCTCTTCAACATTCAGCAAATTTCATATACCACGCCAGGCTCTGGATATGTGGGGCGTGTGAGAGGAAATGTGTGTGTGCAGTATATGGTTTGTATGTGTATGTGGTACTGTGTGTCTATGTGATGTGTGTGTGTGGTGGAGGGGGTAAGGGGGAGGTGCTTGCCTGAAAGTACACATGTAGAGGCCTGAGGTCAACGTCGGATGTTTCCTCTATCACTCTCCAGCTTTTGTTTTGTTTTGTTTTATTGAGACAGGGTCTCTCTGCAGCCCCAGCTGGCCTGGAACTTGCTATGTAGACCAGGCTGCCTTTGGTCTCACAGACATTTGTCTGCCTCTGCCTCCCAAGTGCTGAGATTAAAGGCATGTGCCACCACATTTGTCCTCCAGCTTATTTTTGGAGATAGGGTCACTCATCATTTCAGCTAGATTGGCTGGCTGCTGAGCCCCAGGGATCCACCCATCTCTAGTGACCCTCTAGTGCTGGGGTTGCAGATGGATGCCACCATGTCCAATCCTCATGTGGGTGCTGGAAATCTGATCTGAAGTCAGGCCCTTGATCTTGTGTCACAGGCCCTTTACCCACCAAGCTGTCTTCCCAGTCCCTCACTTTTATTATTTTTTTTTAATGTGTATAAGTGTTAGTGTTTTGCAAGGATGTATATAAGTGCACTCAAGGGGCTGGAGAGATGGCTCAGTGGTTAAGAGCACTGACTGTTCCAGCACCCATATGGCAGCTAACAGCTGTTCATGGCTCCAGTTCCAGGGGCTCTGACAGCCTCTTCTGTCCTCCGTGGGCATTGTACGACATGGGTGCACTTACTCATACACATAAAATGAGAATAGTAAATAAAATATTTAAAAAAAAAAATAAGGCCGGGAGTGGTGGCTCACACCTTTAATCCCAGCACTCAGGAGGCAGAAGCAGGCGGATCTCTGTGAGTCCAAGGCGCCTGGTCTACATAGTGAGTTCCAGGACAGCTGGGGCTACAGGGAGACCCTGTCTCAAAAAAGACCAAAAAAAGAGGAGTGCACTCAAGGCCAGAAGAGGGCATGGAATCACCTGGAACTGGAGTTACAGAAGGCTGTTAGCTACCACCTGGACACCGATAACTGAACCCAGGTCCTCTGCAAGAGTAGTCAGTGCTCTTAACCGCTGAGCCATCTCTCCAGGCTCTTATTTTTATTGTTGAGAAAGGGTCTCATGTAGCCCAGGCTGGTCTCAAACTCCCTACACCAAAGATGGCCTTAAACTTTTTTCCCCAACAATCCATTTCTACTTAGCCACACCTACTTAGCCCAAGAACTGTATTTTAGTTTTTAATTAACTTATTTTTCCTATACGGTGTGTCGGGGGGTGGTTTGTGTGTGAGGTGCATGTTCATGTGTGTCAGCACAGGTGTGGGGACCTAAAGGCCCCATCTTGCCAAGGTGGCGCCGAGAGGAAGTTACTGGGGCCCTGACTTGTTTTGAAAGTCTGACGATACTTCCGCACTGCTGAGGAGTGCATGATCAGCACGTGATCACCCTTAAGATACACCCTCGGGGGAGGGGGATTTCCAGATGCCTTTATAAGCTCTGTAGTGCCTGCAATAAATGAGTTCCTGCTTGACTAGACTCCCCATTGTGTCTGATTGTTCCCAGTGCTGGGGGTGGCAAGGGCTGGTGAACGGCGCGCTTACTCATCCCCAGTCATCCTTGTGCAGGGGTCACAGGCTTGAACCCCCCGTAACTGGCACCCAGCATGGCACTCGAAGGAAGGTGAAAAGAAAAGGATTGGGGCCAAGCGAGAGTCCGGGGTAAGCAAGACCTGAAAGATGGGTAACACAATTAATAAGCCTGAGGACCCGGCGCTTAAGGCGCTGAGAGATATGCTTAAAAGTAGAGGGTTGGATCTGTCAGATCTGGCAGCTCAAAAGGTTTGGGCAGAGGCCATTCATTTGGCTCCCTGGCTACTTGGAGCTAATGTTTTCACTGGGGATACATGGGAACATGTGGAACACCTAGCTCGACAAAGGGAGGTTCAATTGGGGATTGAGCCACCGCTGGAGTTCTACCTTACTATCTCGGCTTTAAAGGCATGCTTTTGGCCCAAGAGACCTAAGCCCTCCACGCCGCCTCTGGACGAGCCTTCAGAACCCCCCCCCCCTGCATGGGAATCATGGGAAGAGTTTGAGGAAGAACGCAGAAATCCAACAGAAGTGAAACCAAAAGCAGCCAAAGTAACAAGTGGCATCTTGGGCGTGCCCTGGCCAGCTTAAGGGCTTCCCAGGACCCATGAAAACTGTCCCCATTCTCAGGACCCATGGGTTCCTTTTTCCTCCAAGGAGGTGGGAACCCAGAAGGGGCAAACCAAAGCCATGGCTGCTGTCTTACAGACACAAACAGAGGCTCTGACCCGTGCCCTAACCTAGGCATTTAATTCACTTAATCTGGGACAGCAGGTAACAACGGGGCCTAGAGGAACAGAAGGCCCATGTTTTGGCTGTGGCCAGACTGGCCATATTAAAAGAAATTGTCCTCAGCGAGAGAACCGGCCTAAGCCTGGAGGTGGGGTATCAAAAAGACCCCCATCTACACCCTGTCCCTGGGGCCACAAAGGGTTCCATTGGCAGAAGGATTGTAAATCCAGATTTGATTTTGAAGGAAAGCCTTTAAACTAAATGGGGGGAAGCCTCCAGCCTGCCCCCCCCCCCGACCAAGCCCTGCACCCGATGCTGCAAGGGATTCCATTGGCTGAGGGATTGTAAATCCAGATTTGATACTGAGGGGAAGCCTTTAAACTAAATGGGGGGGCCTCCAGCCCCATTAACAAAAGGAGG